CTTAATATTTCTCAGAAAACAGGTCACAGATTTAATTCGTTTGAAGTACTTGTGCTAAATGTTACGCTCTTAGATGTAAGAAAGAAATCCATATTATCTCTAGCCTTGGCTACTGTATATAGACCTCCAGGGCCATATGCTGAATTTCTAAAAGAGTTTGCAGACTTTCTCTCGGATCTATTGGTCAATGTCGATAAAGCAATAATTGTTGGAGATTTTAACATACACGTAGACAACAAAAATGATGCGTTAGGGGCTGCGTTTACAGATTTATTAAACTCCTTTGGGGTCAAGCAAAACGTCCGTGGTCCCACTCATCGTCTAAATCATACTCTAGATTTAATTATATCATATAGAACCAATCCAACTGATATAGATATTATACCGCAAAGTGATGATGTCACTGATCATTACATGGTAACGTGCATAATACGTACTGCTGAAATATGTCATGTTGCGCCACGTTATAGACCAGGCAGAACAATCCTTCCAACCACTATAGATAGATTCTCAAATAGCTTACCTGATCTATCTCAGCTGCTCAGTGAACCCAAACAAACAGATGAACTAGAGGAAATGACTAGCAGTTTGAGCACCATTTTCACTAGTACATTAGATATTGTTGCACCAATTAGATTAAAAAAGGTTAAAGAGAAAACTAAAGCACCATGGTACAACAGTGTTACGCATGATATCAAGAGAGAAACTCGTAACCTAGAGCGTAAATGGAAACAAACTAATTTAGAGGTCTTTAGAATCGCGTGGAAAGACAGTATGTCACGTTATAAAAAGGCTCTAAAAACAGCCAGGGCAGAGCATCTCCGCAAACTAATAGAAAATAACCAAAATAATCCAAGGTTCTTATTTAACACCGTGGCTAGACTAACAAATAAACAGACATCACCAGAGCAAAATATACCGTTACAGTTTAGTAGTAATGATTTTATGAATTATTTCAATGAGAAAATAGAAAGCATTCGAAACACAATTATAAATGTACAATCCTCTATGGTCTCTTATGATTCAGCCTCAATTATCGTCCCTCAAGAACAACTACACCGCTTTACAACTATAGGACAGGAAGCGCTAAATAAACTTATTATTGCATCTAAACCAACAACATGCTCATTAGATCCAATACCCACTAAACTACTGAAAGAAGTGTTACCTGTAGTGGAAGAGCCTCTTCTTAATATTATTAACTCGTCTTTATTCTTAGGTCATGTTCCAAGAATATTCAAGTTGGCAGTAATAAAACCTCTCATTAAGAAACCGCAACTAGATCCAAATAACCTAGCAAATTACAGACCCATTTCAAATCTTCCATTTATGTCCAAAATACTAGAAAAAGTTGTATCCGCTCAACTGTGCTCTTTTTTGCAAGAAAATGATATCTATGAAAAATTCCAGTCAGGATTCAGACCGCATCATAGTACAGAAACTGCGCTAGTTAAAATTACAAATGATCTACTCTTAGCTTCTGACCAAGGCTGTATCTCAATACTAGTTCTACTCGATCTTAGTGCTGCGTTCGACACTATAGATCATAAAATACTCTTGGATCGACTACAAAACTACACTGGTGTTCAGGGACAGGCATTAAGCTGGTTTAGATCGTACTTATCTGACCGTTATCATTTTGTCTCTTTACACGGGGGAAAATCAAAGTTAACGTCAGTAGACTACGGAGTACCGCAAGGATCGGTGCTAGGCCCTCTGCTATTCTCAATATATATGCTGCCACTTGGTAATATTATAAGAAAACATGGAATTAATTTCCACTGTTATGCTGACGACACTCAATTATATATTTCATCACGACCAGATGAAAACATTACCTCATCTAAATTGACAGAATGTCTCAAAGATATAAAATGCTGGATGACGCGTAATTTCCTGCTATTAAATTCAGATAAAACGGAGGTATTACTTATTGGTCCAAAAAACTACACACAAAACCTCTTACAATACGACTTTAATATAGAAGGATGCCCTGTTACTTTTTCCACTACAGTAAAAGACCTGGGTGTTATACTAGACCGCAACTTGTCTTTCGAAAATCATATTTCATCTGTTACAAGAACAGCCTTTTTCCACCTTAGAAACATTGCTAAATTACGTAACATGCTATCTGTTTCTGATGCAGAAAAGTTAGTTCATGCATTCATGACCTCGAGACTAGATTACTGTAATGCTTTATTAGCTGGTTGTCTTGCATCCTCAATAAACAAGCTACAGTTAGTGCAAAATGCAGCCGCTAGAGTTCTTACTAGATCAAGAAAATATGATCATATAACACCGATTTTATCATCTCTGCACTGGTTACCTATTAAGTTCCGTATCAATTACAAAGTACTACTACTGACCTATAAAGCCCTTAATGGTTTAGCTCCTATGTACTTAACGGACCTTCTTTCGCCCTACAATCCACCGCGTTCTCTAAGATCACTAAATTCGAGGCTTCTGGTCATTCCTAGGATATCGAAGTCCACGAAAGGAGGGAGGGCGTTCTCACATTTAGCTCCAAAACTCTGGAATAGCCTTCCCGATTCGGTCCGATGCTCTGACTCGCTGTCACAGTTTAAAACTAGACTAAAGACGTGTCTCTTTAGTCAAGCATTCACATAATGCTTACCTTTTAGTCCTCTGCTATGCCATACGGAACCGTTTGCCACTGAAACTGCTTAACGCACCAGTGGGGCTCGACAGCCTTATAGACAAACGGGTCGGTCCGTATGGTTGCGGTTGGTTGCGGAGAGTTTGGGTTGCGGAGAGTTGTGAGATTATGGTTTTCTAACACCTACTCCCGTGTAATGGAAATCATTATGAACATCAGCTATGCTAATTATTTCCCATCTGCCTTTCTGCTGTTATCTCGGGACGCTTGTCCCGAGAAAAATGGCGTTCGTAGGCTCCAGTTTGGTATCCTGCCTCTCACGGGGATTTCGGATGCCTCAACGCCTGTGATGAGAAGACCAACGCCTGTGAAGAGACGACTCAACGCCTGCGAAGAGACGACTCAACGCCGGCGATATGTTATCCCCTAAATATTACATGATTAACTAAATGTATTTTTCCAGGTACTCTCTGATATGCACTTACTGTAAAGCTTCTTTAAAACCCGATTGTTAGCCAGAGGAGAACTGGCCCCTGACTAGCCTGGGTTCTCCCAAGGTTTTTTTCTCCATCCAATCTGATGGAGTTTTGGTTCCTTGCCACTGTCGCCTTGCTTTTGGCTTGCTTAGTTGGGGATATTTAATATTCAACAATATTATTGAACTGTGTTGTACTACTTTCATGTTATCACTGTGAAGCTGCTTTGATGCAATCTGTATTGTGAAAAGCGCTATATAAATAAATGTGACTTGACTTGACTTGACTTTGGCATACCAGCAGCAAGGTCGACCGTGCCCCCTTGGTGTGACCGCCCACTCCACCCGGAGTGTCGCGTCCTCTTGGGCTTTAGCGCATGGCGCCTCGCTAACAGACATCTGCAGAGCTGCAGGCTGGGCGACACCTAACACATTCGCCAGATTTTACAATCTTCGAGTGGAGCCAGTCTCCTCCCGTGTACTGTCTTTTTCAAGCTAACATGGGATCCGTTAGGTGTCTTCGCTTGCTCGCCATGCCACTCCTCGGACTGGATATGTGCGATATTCTCCTCAGGTGAGCTTTTCCGAAAGCCCTGAGCTCCTCCAGCACTGCTGACGTTGGCGCCAGTGTCTATTGCCTGCGCGTCGGCTAGGTGCCTCCGTGTGCATGGTACCTCCTCTGAGCTACCCCCACATGTGTATTTCCACTGTAAGCCTCCCTGAGCATGTGTCTTTCCCTCAGCAAGCCACCTTGCCACCCCTGGGGTTGAAATATTCCACCTGCGGCTGGACACCCCAGTGATTCCCCATATGCATCCCTCGGGTCATATGTGTATTTCTAAGTCCCCCCCCTCTGGGTTGGCAGTAATTGCATACTTCCCTAAAAGTTCTGGGATATGCTCCCCAGTGTACCTTGGTATTCCTGTGTTAAATAGGAGTCCTTCGTCCGTGCTAGTCTCACGACAGGGTTCTCAGATTTACGCAGGGCACTGGAAGACAGCTGAGAAGTGGCGTGATTAGACTGGTATCCCCATTCGTCGTCATCCGACGGAACTCGGAGTGACAACGAAAGGGAACGTCTCGGTTACGGATGTAACCCTCGTTCCCTGAGTAGGGAACGGAGACGTTCCGTCTGCCTGCCACTTCCGCTGTACCGCGGGGATCGCCTGAGCTCAGTCTTGGCTCCTCAGCGAAGAAAACATGCCTATTTGCTGCCAGCGTTCTCCTTAAATACCCACGAGGTGAGGCGGAGTTACGCTATGCAAATTCCGCAGACCCATGGCATTTCTTTGCCATTGGCTCGTTTTGTAGTACTCGAAGTCGATTGGCTTTCTAAGCGAAACCCCATTCGTCGTCATCCGACGGAACGTCTCCGTTCCCTACTCAGGGAACGAGGGTTACATCCGTAACCGAGACGTTACCATGTGTCAGGATATACACTCGGACAACAAGGTTAGAAGGATTCAGAATAACTTTTAATTAAGCTTTTGTAGGACAACAGGTCAGTTCAGATGCATAAACAGGCGCTGTGAGAATAATACTGATGAATGACATATGTGCTACTTGATCTGACAACCACCAATTTAGAGTAAAACAATCAAATCAACAGTGTGGGTGGTGAATCACAACACAATATTTTAGATTATTTAAAAATCTGGAGCTCTGGTGTGTAGAAACTGGACTTTGAAACATCATTAAGGTTTTCATTTTCGAACATTTGCAAATAACAGATAAGGGGGATGAAATTCCCATCAACGAGTTAAATTGGCCAAGGTCATGTTTGCACTGTCTAGTGTTTGAAGGTCACGTGAGGTTTGGAATAAAAACTCCAGCGATGCTGACGGACACCAGTGGAGTCTAAACTCGTATTTGGAGCAAGTTTCATCAGTATTTTCTAAGGTTTGTTCATACCTTAAAGCCTTCAGGCAAAAGAAGACAACAAAATATTAATTTACCCACAACAACAAGGTAAGAGCTTAAGAACTTTACTCAGCAACTAAGACATACAAGAAATTGGTCTTTAACAAATACAGGACTGCAACCGTGTGTGTACGGAAAAGTGCACAGCTGGGTTGAAGTAACTAAGATATGTGCAAGTAAAAATAAAGGAAGGGTCTCATCAGTATTTTCTTAATTGATCACACATAAACTGCTTTAGTAAGTCAAATATCAGTAAAGGTGTGTTGATGTGTGTGTTGTTCAGCAGGTCATGGAGAGTCATCAGTCTGCTGTGATTCTGCTGCTGGTCTTGTGCGTGTCGTTCTCCGCTAATGCTCAACTAAAAAAGTATGAGAAGTTCCTCAAGGAGCATGTGTTTGAAGGGATGACTGAACAGGAATGTACCAGTGAGATCCGCGCGAGAGGAATCACATCTTCCCCAACCACCAACGAGTGCAAAATAATCAACACCTTCATACAAGCAAATAAACAAGATGTTAAAGCAGTTTGTGGCGCGGCAGGAACTCCACAGGGCTATGACATGTTTATGAGTAACAATCCTTTCCCTGTGATCATTTGTGAATTACACAGTGGGTATAGACACCCAAACTGTGAATACAAAGGCAACAAATCCACTCGTAATATTGTGTTGAATTGCGAAGACGGCTGGCCTATACATTACGCCGAAGACGTAATTAATGTGTAGATGACAGACTGAAAAGAGCTTTACAATATTTTGCTAATCATTTGTTCTCTTCTCCTTTTCTGTCTTCCTTTGTTTTTTAATTGAAAAAAAAAACACACACCAATAATCTGAATCAACAAAGCCAAAAATAAAACAGATAAATAAATACTTGACCTCAGTTAGAGGGTAACATGTCAGAGTTCAATGAATTCATTGAAGCACAGCTGTACATGTATGTAATTTGATTTTTTATATTTGAAAAAAAATAATGTCATTTCATAGGGTAAAATAAAATGTTCCTCTCTTTCTTTATGAGACTCTGATATGAACAATAATATCTCATGAGCATAATGTTAAAAAAGCTTTACATCACTTCTCTAAGTTGATGTTATATTCTGCACTTCTTCATGTGTGTCTCTGTGTGTAATTGTTCTTTGCATGTGCAGATTCAGCTAGTCTACTGAATTTTTAAGCACTCTGTTGACACTTTTTGAGCATTACAAAACTTTTTACTGTGAGTAGTGAATGAGAAAAAACAGACGAGGGAAGAAAGACACAGATGTTTTTACACATGTCTGTAATTCTCAATAAAACTTCTCTACGACCTTTAAACTCGTCTGCTGGATTGTCTTGCATCTCAACGTCACAATATCTTGCAAAATTGCTGTCATATTCGTCACCGTGCAACACTTTTGGGTCCAATGATACCTTAACTGTCTTTCAAAAGGTTCAGCCATTTTACTTGTCTGCCAGTTCTTATTTAAGACCATTTTACCTTACATATTTTACCATATTGTTGATTAAGCCTTCAGACAAAATAAATGTGTTAGAACAATATATTAATTTACCCAAAACAACAAGGTAAGACCCTTAGAACTTAATGTCTTTAACACAAATACAGAAAAACAAAGGAACTGGAACGAAAACATGCACAGCTGGGTGAACAAAGTAACTTTAGACTATAATCGAGACCACATCAAAGTGACTGACAGATAGGGAACATCTCGGTTACAATTGTAACTTCTGTTCCCTGATGAAGGGAATGAGACGTGGTGTCCCTCCGGCCACGATGTTGAACTGTCCGCTGAAATACCCGTAGCATGCAAATTCCCGCCGATTCTCATTGGCCTTTTCTGAAGTCTTAGATTATTATGACTGTGTACAAGATCAGGTTCAGTTCCATGCTTATTTTATTTACTCGCTATTTCACCCGAAAGCTTGTTACTATATAAACTTAAACATGCTAGTTTATAAGACAGTGTGTAATACTGTATTATGTTTTAAAAAATTATTTAATAAGCTACTCAATCAAAATAGTAAACACAAGTACAAGCCAAGAATACTTAGCATACTTAATTATACTTTTAAGTATATCTCGATCAACAAGTATAGGCCAAATATACTTGGACTTTTCTGTCAGTATAACTTCACACAACTTTTGTTTACTGCCTTTTTCCTTGGTAATGGTGCCACGTTTTTGGTAAGTAATACAAGTAATACAAAGCAAGAATACAGTGTTGTGTTCTCTCAAGTGGGGTTTATAAATGCATTGAGTTAGTGTTCAGTGATGCATAGAGTTTGACTGTGCTGAATCATTCGTTTATGTCTGACGAATCGAGGTGTTCACTTACTTGGGTCTAAACAGACAGTGATATGGAAGTAAAAGTGTTGATAAGTTGATGCTACTCCCTGTGTCAGTGTGATCATTATAAAACACAACATTTGGTGACGAGGATGACTGATATCGCACTACCACCGCCTGCTCCTTTCCTCACGCTACCTGCTGAGCCTCCGATTCCCTGGACTCGATGGTTGCAGTCCTTCGAGACTTTCATCTTGGCAGTGGGGCTGACTGATGTGAGCACAGCCCGCAAAAAGGCGCTGTTACTACATTGCTTGGGAGCCGAGGGTAATCGTGTGCTGGGAACGCTTGAGTCAGGCGCCACAAGCGATTATGACACAGCCGTGGAACTGCTGACCGCACACTTCGCACCCGCACAGAGCGCGCTCTTGCGCCGTTTTCTGTTCCGCCAAAGACAACAGCTGCCCGGTGAGTCAGTGCAACAGTATGTAGCCAACTTGCGTGGATTGGCCAGCACATGCAAGTTCGGTGCGTTGCAGGACAAAATGATTCGCGACCAGTTAATTGAACATACCAACAACGCAAAAGTACGTGAAACTCTGCTATTAGAACCGGAAGATTTATCACTGTCCCGAGCGATCACGATTGCATTACAAATAGAGAGTGCAGCTGCATGTGCGTCGGCGTTGACTAAACAGCAAACAATCACGGACTACCCAGCCCCCTCCCCCATGCCCACATCAATATTACAGCCCAGTCAGAAAGACACATTTGCTGCAGCAGACTCCTCTGCAGTTATGCTACTGAGACGCCCGCAGCGGTCTCGGCCACGCCCACAGACACCAGCGTCGCGGCCCTGTGATAACTGTGGATCTTCATCTCATCCGTCTAGAGCGCAGAACTGCCCAGCCCGTGTCGCAACTGTGGCAAACGCAACCATTTTGCTTCAGTCTGCCGTTCTGCTCCAGCTGAGTCACCTACTATCATTCACAATGTCTACTCTGGGCCAGTCTCATTTAAAGCATGCTCAGTGCGCCTAAATGATGTGTGTATCCCACTGCTTTTGGACTCTGGTGCCAGTGTGTCTCTCTTGAACATGCACACATACAGTTGTTTTTTCGGAGCGCTGCCACTGTCGCCACCCTCTGCTTCACTCTGTGGCTATGGCGACTCAAAGATTGACCTAGTGGGTTCCCTGCAAGCGACTGTTGGTTATGGCACCAAATTGGTACCCGGCTTTACCTTCCATGTTGCCCGTCGTGGGGCCAATCTGATGGGTCTGGATTTGTTCTCTGCTCTGGGATTCTCCCTGGTGGACACAAAGGGAGCTGCAATCCTGACAGTCTCCACGCCTTGGCAGCAAAAATGGTCATCCCTGTTTGAAGGCTTGGGGTGCCTCACTGCTTTTGCCCACCAACCTCTCCTGAACCCTGCTGTTACACCAGTCATTCAACCACTTCGCCGCATTCCTCTGGCTTTCCGTGATGGTGTCTCAGTTGAACTTAAGCTGCTGCTGGACGCTGGTATTATCGAACCAGTGGATGCATCGCTCTGGGTCTCAAACCTGGTGGTGGCTCAGAAGAAATCAGGGGCCCTACGGGTGTGTGTCGACCTGCGAGCAGTGAATAAGGCAGTGATCCCGGACAGGTTTCCACTGCCTACCTCCGAAGAGCTCACTGCTCAGTTCCATGGCTCAACCGTGTTCTCTAAACTGGATCTCAGACAGGGCTACCTACAAGTGCCTCTCCACCCCAGCAGCAGGAACCTCACAGCCTTTGTGACCCATGAAGGTGTGTTTCGTTATACACGCATGCCGTTTGGACTTAGCTCCGCCCCCAGTTGCTTTCAAAAAATCATTGTGTCGGTATTGGCTGGTATACCGGGGGTGGCCATTTACCTGGATGATGTGGTTATCCATGGGCCTTCTCCAGTGAGTCATGATGAACGCCTCAGCAGAGTTTTTGCAGCCCTAGCAAAACACAAACTAACCCTCAATGCCCGAAAAATGTGTTTTCTCCTCACCGTCCATTGAGTATGTGGGTTTCCGACTGTCGGTGGATGGCGTCACACCACTTCAGTCAAACGTAGACGCTATACTGGCAATTCCCGAACCCAGCTCGGCTGCACAGGTTGCCTCCTTCTTGGGCATGACGGGTTACTATCTAAAGTTCCTCCCACATTATTCTGCTACCACTGCCCCACCACGGCATCTGCTGCGTAAGGATGAGCCTTGAATATGGTCACGGGCATGCTCTGAGGCGGTGCAGGCCCTCAAGGTGCAGCTCACCACAGCTCCAGTGTTGGCTCATTTCGATATCTCTAGCCCCACTTTGGTGACCTGCGATGCGTCGGCTACAGCCATAGGAGCAGTGCTGTCACAGACTCAGCAGGGCGTCGAGAAGCCCATTGCCTTTGCGTCACGGGCCCTCAATCAGACGGAGCAGCGGTACCCGGTGGGGGAACGGGAAGCATTAGCCTGCATCTGGGCCTGCGAGAGGTGGCACTTGTACCTCTATGGCCGCGCTTTCACCCTGAGGACTGATCACCAGGCCCTGACTGCACTGCTTTCTACATCTGGGACAGGCCACAGACCACTGCGGCCACACCGCTGGTCCGACCGTCTTCGCCAGTATAACTTTGACCTGAAGTTCACCCCAGGCAGAGACAATGTTGTGGCTGATTTACTGTCACCCCAGGGTGGGATGCCACCTTGTGGCTGATTTACTAGCCACCACAGGGTGGGATGGCTACTCCATCCCACCC